CACAGTTTACTACCCACAGAGGCCCCAAACCCCTTTTCCTTTGCTCACTTCTCCACAATTTATTACCCTTTGTTAAAAACGATACAGACATGAGTCCACTGGTTTAACGGATTCTTTGGGTTTTCACTTTTATCTTGAAGCCCCTGTGCATGTGAAAATATTAACACCTACAAAGAAACACACAGTTTTTCTCCTATTAATCTGTCTTTTCTCAGTTTAATTGTAGGCTCCCAGATACAAAACCTGAGAGGGTAGAAGAAAATGTTTTTCCTTTCCTACACTTATCAGTATTACATTGCTTGTATGACCTGCTTTGGTAATAAGAAAAAGAAAATAAAGTAATAAAAGAAAGGGCATCAAATATGGTGATGGGAGTTTTGGAATATATACATATAAATATAGGTATACATATACATACATATATATGTATAGATAGATAATTTTTTTTTCTAAATGCCTGCCTTCATTCCTTCCTTCTTTCCTTCATTCTTTCTTGCTTAAATAATTTGGTACTAAAGCCAGTAGGTGAAATTGAGCAAAAGTAAGTATCCACATTGGAGAGTGGGTGCTAGTGGCCCAGTGCAAGGAGGTGGTTCCTAAGAGGGATGAGAAAGGCCTCTGCATGGAGTGGGGTTGTAGCAATGGCGTGGCATGTGCGCCCACGCAAGATAGGGACAGCATCCATACATGTGGGCGATTGCAGAATGAGGTGAGTGGATGCCCACTCAGGGGGCAGTGGGGATGAGAAGAGACTGATTACCTTGGGGGTTGATCCAACAAACAAATATATTGGGGTTATGGGGTGCAGGCTTCTCCCTCTTAGAAAAAGGATTTACAAATATGGAAAGGGAGGAAACTGGAATAAACCCTGCGGTATGTAAAATCAGAATTGGATGTATCAGTCATTTTGTGTTTTCGATAGTATATGTATATAGGGGTGTGTGTGTGTGTGTGTGTGTGTGTGTGTGTGTGTGTAGATATATATGCCCTAGCTCTTTCCATTGAGAGAGCCTAAGGGCAATGCCATTGCAAAAACATTGAGAATACCTACTGTTCAGATCTGTTACTAAATACCATTCTCTGCAAAAAAATAACAAAAGAAAAACAGACAAACAAAACAAAAAAAAGCCCAAAGCTCTTTGAAGATATACTTGATTCCAGTGTGTGTGCCAGAAAGTACAGAAGTGTTCAAAGAATGATGAGAATATGTCAAAAGAACTGAAAGCCAGCCTAAAGGGGCTAGGCAAATGCGGGACAATTTGAGGGTCAGTAAACAACGATAGAAACAGATATTGCCTACTGAATAAATTAAGCAACCGTGAGTTCATACTAATATACAAAAATGAATGAATGAATGAGAAGAAAAAGCTTTTCCTTACAGTATACAACACTGTATATATATAATGCTCACTAATAAATGTGGAAGGAATGATGGATTTAGGAAATCACCATTTGGCATCATAGTTGAAAATCTTACAAGGCTTCTAGACAAAGAACAAAACTTTCAAAGGCAATTGATAATGGAAAGATAACTAGACTAGTAATAGACTTCTTATCTGTAACCTTGGTTGAATCAGACAATTTGCATTTATATTTACAGACCACTGGCAATATCCCCCTATCAAGGGAAGTTCTCATTCCCATGTGAGAGCAAAGTAAAGAAGTTTTGGAGTGTTGCAAAGGCTCCGAAAATATCCTACCTGTGTACCTTTCTGAGAAAATTTTCTAACCAAATGAAAATCAAATCTCATGATAGGGAAGATGAAAAGTTCAGGAAACATTGATGAACAATGAATTTCATAATATTTACAATTATATCTAAATGGAATATGACAGTTAACTGGAGATTATACTCTGGTAAGAATTTTGAAACAGGAGATTCTGTGAGGAAAAACTTGATGACTGTCTGGGTTTGAAATCCTATAATTATCTCATACAAGCTCAAGATTTGGGCTTCCCTGGTGGCACAATGGTTGAGAATCCGCCTGCCGATGCAGGGGACACAGGTTCGTGCCCCGGTCCGGGAAGATCCCACATGCCATGGAGAGGCTGGGCCCATGAGCCTGCGCGTCCGGAGCCTGTGCTCCGCAACAGGAGAGGCCACAACAGTGAGAGACCCACATACCACAAACAATAGGGAAGGTATGGGCAGTCAAATGTTCTAAAGGTTTCATTTCAGTGGAAGAAGTGGAGAAGCATTAAGCTAGTAATAGAGTGTGGTAGGAAGGCAAAGTTGTTACTTATTTTTTGATCCATCAATAGAAAGATGTAATTATTACAGTTGGGAAGACAACTATTAGTAAAATTGAAAAAATATATGGTAGGGAATGAGCAAGTTGGAGGACATTATTTAATTTTCACATATCCATAGAAATATAAAAATAACTGCTAAAGCCAGGAAAGTTATGAGTAGCAGAATGGAAATCCAATTTATGAGTGGAGGAGAAAAAGATAAAAAGAAACCTTATCAATCTAATAAGAGTGAGGAAAAGAGAGAAAAGAAAGTATACAAATGTACAATAAAGTGGAAGAAATAAAATTAAGTATATAAATTTTCACTACCATTGTGAAATTCTCCTATCAAAAGGCAAAAACTCTCAGACTGAGTTTGAAAATCAAATTGGATTATATTCTGTATCAGGCAGGGCCTCAGTAAGATGACACATTGGAAACAGGATAATTTGAGAAAGGCCTCCTCTGGAAGGTGTGCATGGGGAGTGGAAGTACAAGGCATAGTGCGATACTGGGTGAACACCAGCAGGGCTGTTCCCACTCCGAGGCCCAAAAGGACAAAGGGAGGGTAGGATTCCCAGAACCTGGAAAGAAAGAATCATGTAGAGTAGGACACCCAGAGAGGAGCAGTGACTCTTAGTTGAAGGTCATAGAGGAAGGAGTCAAGAATTAACTTCAGTCTCCCTCCCTTGATTTAGCCAGAGAGCAAGGGAAGAAGTTGGTGTGGTCCCTACAAGTCAGCCCTTTTGCAGGGACCAGAAGGGTGAATGGTGGGTCCAGAGGAGCAAGCAGACAAGATACTTGCCACACGTACTGTTGACAAGCTCTACACCAAAATTAAAGCAGCAAGGAAAACTTCGAAGAAAGGAAACGTACGTAATAGTAATAGGATGTTAATAGGGTTTTCCTATTATCCAGAAGTTGTGAGATTTATGCTAGACCCAACGCTGGGGAGCAGATGGAGACAAATGTTCTCCCATAAGAGAACTATCTGGAAGTCAAGCTGCCAGAATATCCCTGCAGGACTTACTAATGGGCACAGCAGCCAGTACCCTCCTCTCCCTAGTCTACGTAAAGAAAGATTTGGGGATGGGGAAAAGTGATGTTTAGGCCTTAAGGAAAACAATATTCCTGGAGAGAAGCACTTGAGGAGATGCACAGAGATTGGAAATGAGGTGACTTGTGTCCAGTTCCTTGGCTGGATGCTTGCTGAGTTGCAGAACACACAGGTCTGGTCAGGTGATGCCACCAAAGTAATGCATACAGAGAGTTCTTGGGAGAGCAATGTGATCTCCTGAAGTATGGGGCATACCAGAACATGGACACTGTATCTACTTCTGGCCTGGAGAACCTTGAAGATGGCCACTGAATGACCCATGCCATCAGGGCTTGAAAGAACAGTGGTGAAGTGTAACCAGGAAGAAGATGAGGCAACCGTCCTCCCATCCCAAGTCCAACTTGATGTGACATGATATTACGGAGGATCTTATACTTTTTCCATAGTAGATAGAATACCAGCCACTATATCATTGGATAGTTATACCACATTTTAAATGACTTCTCTACAATCTACATGGACAAACAATTCATACAAAGGCTACTGGTAAATTAGGTACATGAAGTGCTTAACCAAAGCAGTATTTGTAACAATGGTAAAATACCATCTAAATGGCCCAAAATAGTGGATGGTGAAATGAATTATACACATATCAACTAGATGAAATTTAATTCTTAAAATAAGAATTCTTTAAATTGTGTAGCAAGATAAGAAATTATACTGTTAAGCAAGGAGAGTAGCATAAAAAAAATATTCCTAGTCTATGATTGGAACAGTGTAAAAAAGGGCATACACCAATGAGCAAATACAAAAAGCAAGCACAAATAAAACAAGAACTGATGTCTTAGGCTAGTGGAATGTGGATGAAGTCTTCTTTGCAGTCATCACTTCTGTTGTCATACAGTTGCTTAAGCAATAAATGAAATCAAAGGCTCAAAACAGAGAAACAAATGGGTGGAAGCAGAAGAAGCAACGATTAGACAACGCTTGAGGAATTTTGCTTTAGACGGAAGCAGAAAATGGGGTGGTACCTGGAAAGGTCTGGGCCATGGGAAGGGAGGGACTTTTATGAAGTTAGGGAAAGAGCTACATATTTTTATGCTGATCATATTTTTATGATCTACTGGGAAGGAGCAAAACTAATGCTGGGGAAAAACCCTTCAGCAAGGGAGAGGAAATGTGAGCCCACACTCAGGTGGAAGTGGGCAAGGGGCAGGTCAAGGGCCACACAGAGTACATGGGAGCAGATAAAAGTAGGTTGGCTGTTTGATGGTGGGAAGTTGAGGGAATTCTATTCTGATTGATTCCATTACCTTCAGTGAAATAAGAAGCAAAAGGAGGAGTCAACTAAAAATGGGGTTTGTTGGAAGTTTAAGATAAAAGGAGAAGTGTGAAATGGTCTCAGTGGTTGAAAGTGTTAAGCAACCAAGGCAATATGGTAGAATTCCCTGAGAAAACTGAGGGTCTGCTTGAGGTTTGGGCAGTAACAGGTCTTACTGACATATCCTGTGCAAGACAACCTATCTCAACTATATGATATCAACGCCTTGAACACATGGTCTTTCTTTTTACTGTGTCTCTTAAAGAGTTCAGTTTCGGTGCCGTAAATTGCTAGTATCCTCCCTTTTCATTTTATGTGTGAACAATGATGTTGAAAGTACACTTGCAAGCAGCTGTCTTGAAGTATCAACTTCCATTTACTCTTTGAAAGTTTTATCATTATACCAGAACATCTTCTGGAAATATCAGAATGAGCTGACCCTAGACACTGACGCCATCACCCATCAGAAGCCATGACCCGTGATTTATGGGTGTGAATTAGATCGTAGACTCTCAAGAGAATTGACACCCTCAGCAACTGCAAAATGAAGAAATCTGTGTCATTTTGCTCAGGATGAGTGAGGTAATTTTTTGGGGGTTTTTTTCTTTTATTTTGGTTTTGTTTTTGTTTTTAATGTGATGGCTTTAAGTGAAGACAGGGCGACACAAATTGCATGACTAGCTCCTCTCAAAAGTTACTTTTTGCAGCCTACACACTGATGTCACTAACAGTACTTAACACCGGTGAGGTGGATATGATTGCACAGTGGGATTTATTCAAAGTGTATCAGGAAATGGGGGAGAGAAGTGAACACATTAAGAGGAAAAAAAAATTTTAATTAATATAATAATTGACCAAGAAAAATGGTCAATAAATATTTGATCTTTTGTTCCTTTAAAAATCCATGTCGTATGAAAATGTGATGAGGAGAAAAGAACAATTAAAAGGTACAGGTACTGGCTTTTCCTGTCTCTTTCCCCAAATGTCAGGCTCATAGGAACCCCTATGGTCCACCTCTGTGCAGATAAAAATCTTTCCTTTCCAGACTAAAAGTCAAAATTCTGAATATTTATAGCCTGAAGTTATTGTCTGTGAATCTGGTAACTTAGACCAGAGAGTGTTGCTTTGAACACTGGTATTTTAGGCACTTTCCAGATAACATTGAAATGACCTTTCCTTAGCACTTGCCAAACTTATGAAAAAATTTAAAAATCTAAATTAAAACAGTAATTTAGTGAACTGACATTTTTTGCACATCAAGGTGATGCCCGAGATGATACCCAAAGTGAATATGGAAAAAAGAGGGACTCTCATCATGCTTTCAGGAAAAGTGTAAACTGACACAACTTTTTCAAACAATCTTGATAAAATGTACCCCAAAGTCTTAAAACATTCATTTATTTAATCAAAAGTATTTATTTATTGAGTGTCTTCTATATCAAGCGCTGGAAATTATATTCTATCAGTGAGTGAATAGACATTACACAAATAATTACAAGTGCAATGAGCCCCATGAAAGGGAAATCAAAAGGACCTAAGAGTAAAGAATTAGTCCTAAGAAAGTAATTAGAATTATACAGTAAGATGTAATTTAAACAGTGAGAACTACCTAAATGTCCACAAGCAGTGGATTAAGTAAATTATTGTATATCCATGCAATGCAATAATACAATGGCATTAAGAATAAAGCTATAGAAAAATACTTAATAACATGTAGAAATGTTCATAATATACTGGTTAATGGAAAATGTTATAAAAATGTGTCCAGTATGACCCAATTTGGTAAAAACTAAACTATTTATAGATCTCTCCTTATCCATCATCTATGAAGGATACACCAGAAAATGTTAGCATTATAATTGCTGGCTAGGGATATTACAACAATACTTTCTTCTTTGTGCTTATCTTCATGAACATTCTTGTAGTTGTAAGAAATAATAATAGTAATAAGTATATAATTGGGCATGGGGTAACTGATATTTGAGAGAGAAGACCTAAGGAGTGTATTATTCAACTGTTCTTCTAAATTACGTAAAATCTGTTCTTGTATTAAATTAGATCAACAGAATACAGTGTTTCTGAAATACATTTTTAAAATCCTCTACAGAAATGCTTTCACCAAGTTACAACTGAATGATGAACTTGGCTTTATTAAGGCAATCTGAAGAATATTTTCTTAATCTTTGGCGAAATTACGGTTCAAAATATTGGTCCCTACATTACTTACTGCTCCCTTTATAAAGAGCCACTTAACAGGTTTCTAAGAGAATTGATGCCAGGAAAGAGTTAGCTTTTCCGTGAGCTCTTATCAAATAGCACACATTTTAGAACACACCTTATTTCTCTTATTGCCTTGTCTGCCAGGAAGATTAGAGCTAAATTCAGTGATCGATTAATGTAAAGATCCAGCTCCTGGTACAATTAGTACTGTCCTTTTAAGTGACATGTGTTGCTCATTTTTATAATTTTAAGCTCTTCTGTCTTTTAATAGGCAAGTCCCCTCAAATTGTTTTTCTAAATAGACATGTAAGGTAGAGAGATGTCCAGATGCTCTATAATAAATAAACAGGAAAAATTGGAAATTAGTACTCATTTGCTGTTCGTACATATACATAATGCTAAAGTTTTTAAATAGTTGTCCTTATAATAATATTATTGATTGTTTTTCTAACTATGTTTGCCTTTTACATGGATAGTGAAAACATTAACTTTATCTCAGCCTATTTGAATTGCAATGGTTTTAAATAGAATCTTTAAAATAACTTCATTATTCTATTAGTTAACTACTGGTCAGAATGTTAGTTTTTCAGACAGCACATTGTTTTGGAGAGTTTAAATTAATGAAATGCGTTTTCCGATCATAGAAGGAATATTGAGAGAACACTTGAAAATTTCAAGTCTAGTCAACACTGGTTCCAGTTTTTTTGTTTTTTTTTTAATCACTACTCCTTTCTGTATTACTTTTGTGAGAAGAACTTAACCTTAACACTAATTTGAAATGAACTTTTGTATTCTCCTAATGACTAGGGACTGAAGTGTTTAAATAACCTTTTTCATCCCCAGGGAGATGACTGCTGTAGGTCAGTCTTGAGGTCATTGGCTGAAGAGTTACAAAGAAAGTCATAGTTTTGGCTGAAGATATAGTAAATTGGACTATGATAAAGCTGATGCTTCCTCTGAGATGAAAGCGAAAAATATTCAATCCTCTCCTCTGAACATAAATAAACACTGGCTATAGTTAGCCAGTTTGGGTGGATTGGAGTTTAAAATATTTCTAAATTTGGTACACATTACCATATGTAGTCAGGTTAAAGCTACTGATGTCTGGGAACATTTCTGGGAAAACAGAAGTATATCCAAGAAAAGATAAAGAATCTTAGAACTGTAGAGATGGAAGCCCTATGGTGGTCCATTCTCCTGTGTCTAGAAAGGCTGACAAAGAGTCCATAATAAGTAGAAACTCTCTTTGGAGAACTGAAGGAAGAGTGTTTCTGCAGCTTCTTGCTGTAATGAACTTTCATTCAGCCTTTGCATAAAAGAACCTGATGAAACGTGGGAATTTGCATGATTATGGTAATCAGTGTTACCCTATCTTGAAAACTCTGTCTTGTCAATGTCCCCTTAAGATATGAATGTTCCAGGGCTTCCCTGGTGGCGCAGGAGTTGAGAGTCCGCCTGCCGATGCAGGGGACACGGGTTCGTGCCCCGGTCCGGGAAGATCCCACATGCCGCGGAGCGGCTGGGCCCATGAGCCGTGGCCGCTGAGCCTGCGCGTCCGGAGCCTGTGCTCCGCAACGGGAGAGGCCACAACAGTGAAAGGCCCGCATCCCGCAAAAAAAAAAAAAAAAAAAGATATTAATGTTCCATATGTGATGTATTCAAAGTTCAGAGAAATTGTACCCTCTTATCTGCTCACTAAACATCTATTAATGAAGCCCAGTTATGGTAGTTTTGGGGGCAATTATTTACCCTGTTGGTTTCTACTAATCATGTGATCTTTTCTGTTTCTTTTTTCAGTATACCAACAGCAATGATGACCTTTATTTTCAAATCATGGACAATCAGAGGTATAGATTTACACGGGGATTGTAGGCCTGGGATTAGGCCATTGAATTTTTAACTTCCATGTGATATTTTTTACGTGACTTTTTTCTAAGCCAGATTCTGCCATGCTATACTTGCTCAATTTATTCTTTTTTTAAACTTAGAAGCAGAACTTTACTATATCTACTAATTTTATCTTAACCCTTCTAAGTTGTAGAAAGGCTTTTAAGTTTTAATTTTATCATCTGTACTACTAATTAGCATTTCCAGCTTTATGATGCTAAAACTTTAGCAAGAATGGCACCTCTGTGAAGGCACGAGCTCTGTTCACTGGTCAGAATGTAACACAGTACAGTTACTTTGGAGGTGAATTTGGCAATGTATTTTAAAATTAAAGTTGAAAATGCAGGAACCCAATAAATCCATCGCTAGGTAACTCTGGAGAAAAAGTTAAATATATGCACATGGAGATACGTACAAAGATGGTCATCGCAGCACTGTTTGTAGTGGCCAAGACTTGTGTAAAACCTAAATGTACATCAGTCAGGAAATAATTAAGGACTCTGGAATACTCTGTAGCCATTAAAATGAACAAGGTAGATCCATGTTTAATTATCATGGAAAGAATTCTAAGACATACACTGAGCGAAAACACAAGTTACTGAAAGTTAGGGAAACATGATACCATTTATGTAAAGATACATACAGTCATACTAAACAACACTGTATCTTTTCTATGGTACACATATGCATGTAAATACACAAAGAAAAATCTGAAGTGATACACCCCAAACTGAGAAAAATGGTTTTATCTGGGAAGAAGAAGGAAGTGACTGGGATTGGGGGTGGAGTCCAAAGGATACTCTCACCATTATCTGTAATGCTGTCATTTTTCACAAAGATATTGTATAACTTTGTATTATTGTACAAAGTTAATTTTTAACCGGTTAAAACCCAACAACGAAAAGAATGAAAAGAAACCTAATTCAAGGTGTCAATAAAAATGTTTAAAAGGAAAACATCCTTAAGCTCACATTAAAAAAATACTCCTTCATTTTATAGAAATGGTAAATGAAGAAATAAGAAACCAATTATAAGACATTAGCTGCCTGAGAAAGTCCAGGAACATCTTCTCACTGGAAGATTCTCAACGTGTCCTTGTGGACATTTGGGGAATGGGCAGCAAATCAATCCATGCTCTCTCCTGTTCCGTGATGTGGCCTATTTCTGGGCCCTCATCCCTTCATATTCAGTATGAATTTTGGTTTTATCTCTTATAATGGAACTGAAAATTAAAATACCTCAGAGTCCAACTTTGAGGAGCGAGGCAATAAGTGGATGAAGGGATACTTACAAAGATCTCTCAAAATACAACTGCAGCCACTTTCCAACAGGGAGGATAAGATGGAGTGCAGAAGTCAGCAGAGAGCTGTCCCTGGAATCCTACAGGACATGGCCAGAGACGACACAGGGCATCTTTACTTCATGGACACTCTGCATTTACTTTCTGGTTTTTATTGAGGAATTTTACCTCAAATTATTATATTTTTCTCATTACATATGTTTTCAAATAAGTAGGAAAAATTAGTACATGCATATGGTTTAAAAAAATCAAGTAGTACAAAAACAGTACAATGAGAAGTCTTCCTTTAACTGCAGATTCCAGTCCCCAGAGGCAGACACTCCTGAAATACTCTGTCTATAAAAGCACGTATCGGGTTGGCCAAAATGTTCATTCGTTTTTTTCCGTAAGATGCCTCTAGTAGCACTTAGTTGTCTTTAACTTCATTCGAAACAATTTTGTTAGATTGTATTGTGACAGCTGTCGTATCAGCGTGTATTTAAAAAAAAAATTATCAATATTGGTGAATTTTTGTGTAGCCCTTTTAATATTGAAGTTGGAAGAAAAAAGCAACATTTTCGGCATATTATGCTTTCTAATTCCGAGAAAGGTTAAAACGCAACTGAAACGCAAAAAAAGATTTGTGCAGTGTATGGAGAAGGTGCTGTGACTGATTGAATGTGTCAAAACTGGTTTGCTGGAGATTTCTCACTGGACGATGCTCCACAGTCTGGTAGACCAGTTGAAGTTGATAGTGATCAAGTTGAGACATTAACTGAGAATAATCAGTGTTACACCACGCGGGAGATAGCTGACATACTCAAAATATCCACATCAAACGTTGAAATCATTTGCACTAGGTTGGTCATGTGAATCACTTTGATATTTGGGTTCCTCATAAGTTAAGCGAAAAAAGCCTTCTTGACTGTATTTCCGCATACAGTTCTCTACATACATAATCTACATAACGAAAACGTTCCATTTTGAAAACAAATTGTGATGGGCAATGAAAAGTGGATACTGTCCAATAATGTGGAACGGAAGAGATCATGGGGCAAGTGAAATGAACAACCACCAACCACACTAAAGGCTGGTCTTCATCCAAAGAAGGTGATGTTATGTATATGGTGGGATTGGAAGGGAGTCCTCTATTATGAGCTCCTTCCGGAAAACCAAACGATTAATTCCAGCAAGTACTGCTCCCAATTAGATCAACTGAAAGCAGTACTCGATGAATAGTATCCGGAATTAGTCAACAGAAAATGGATAATCCTCCATCAGGATAACGCAAGACCACATGTCTCTTTGATGACCAGGCAAAAGCTGTTAGAGCTCGGCTGGGAAGTTCTGATTCATCTTCTGTATTCACCAGACACTGCACCTTCGGATTTCCATTGATTTCAGTCTTCACAAAATTCTCTTAGTGGAAAAAATTTCAATTCCCTGGAAGACTGTAAAAGGCACCTAGAACAATTCTCTGCTCAAAAAGATAAAAAGTTTTGGGAAGATGGAATTATGAAGTTGCCTGAAAAATGGCAGAAGGTAGTGGAACAAAAGGGTGAATATGTTGTTCAATCAAGTTCTTGGTGAAAATGAAAAATGTTGTCTTTTGGTTTTAAAAACCAAAGGCATTTTTTTGCCAACCCAATATATTGCAGGCATATGCATGTTTTCCCTTCATGAAAATGGAAGCATGCTAAACACATTGCAATATGCCTTACATTTTTCACTTATTTTCTACTTTTTCAGTATACCTAGATCATTCCACAGCCATGTATATAGATTGACTTCATTAAAAAAAAAACTGCAATAGTTCTTTATAAATTGCATCTGGCAATGATGGGCTCTCAAAAAACATTAAATGAATGACTCCACATAGTTTCTTTCATAAGCCTCTAATGAAGACCATTTTATTGTTTATTTCCAGTCTTTTGCAACCACAAGCAAAGCTGAAGTATATATGTTCACACATCTTTGTGCATGTGTGTGAATATGTCTGTAGGATAAATTCCTAGACAAGAAATTGCTGAATTAAAAGATACACTTATTTCAAATATTGAATGCTATTGCTGATCGATCTCCAACCAGCAGTGAAAGAGAGTACCTGTTTCCTTCAACTCTCTAATCCTATACGTTAAACTTTTTGACTGTACCCATCTGAGAAATAAAACAATGTATTCCTTTCCCTCGAATGTTTTATATTTTGTTTATATATTTTAAAAGGCTTCTTTATGGAAATATTATGTATTAATCTATATATTTTATTTATATTTCTTTTTCTATGAGCTACTTGTTCATGTTCTTTTGCCAGTGAGTCGTTTCTCACTGATATTTAAGGTCTTTGTTTTTTAGTTTAACTTTGATGTCACAGATACTGCATAATTTCCCAGTTTGTCATTTATCTTTTTTTTTTTTTTTTTTTCTGTGGTACGCGGGCCTCTCACTGTTGTGGCCTCTCCCGTTCCGGACGCGCAGGCTCAGCGGCCATGGCTCACGGGCCCAGCCACTCCGCAGCATGTGGGATCTTCCCAGACCGGGGCATGAACCCGCGTCCCCTGCATCGGCAGGCGGACTCTCAACCACTGCGCCACCAGGGAGGCCCTGTCATTTATCTTTTGACTTGGGTTTAGAGCAGGGAGGGGGACAGCACTAGTGGTGGATACTTGTGTTAAATTTATATAATTGAAAGGTTTGTTCATATAGCTTTCCCCAAACCAAGGAGCAGTCTGTCCCAAAGGTAAATTCAGGTTCCTGCTTCTTACACAGTTGTTTTAAGATGACAGGGGTTTTTTTCTGCTAGTTTTTGCACATTAAAAAAAAAAAAAGTGCCTTGAATTGATGGTCAGGATGTCCCCTTTACACTAATGTCAAATAAGAACAAATGGACAATGATATTCGAATCTCTCTAATCTGAGCAGACCACACAGAAGATAAGGAATAGCAGGGTCTTTCTGTAAGGGGCTATCTTTGAAATAATATTTATTATTAACAACAATTTATTTGAATGAAATTAATATAAGGAAGGCTGAGCTCCTCTGATTCAATAGCTTTTTTCATTCAACTCTTACTATAGTGTTGAGCTAATTAAAAAACATAGAACATATGAATAAACCTAGTTACTTCTAGCATCCCTCTCTTTTCAAAGGTAAAAGAACAAGTCCTTGTGGTTGTCCAGTGGCCCTCAGGGAAGCCCAAGATAATTTAAAGATAAAAGACATCATGAAGTTTTTACTTTTCTGAATTTAGGAGTTGATCTTGGGAAGGCAAAATCAAAGCCTATGAGAGGAGACTGGTCACTTGATTAATATGGTCACAGACATCTGAAAATAGTGCATGATTGTAGCTTGACTGTCTATGTAGAGTGACAATACACTATTTAAAAATAAGCTGACCGAAGGTGACGTAATTAAGCCTTGGCTATTTCAGGAACTTCGGTGTGTTCCTTGTTTATTTATCTGTTTTTAAAAATCAAGGACACAAAATCCACATAAAGCACAGATCATTATTCTGGGTGAGACCAGAATCTGCCACCTGGGCATGGAAGATAAACAGTAACCTTTCTTTACGTCTGGTGGAGATAGAGGTGCTCACTCTATTATACCACAGCTGATGGTCATAATGATGACTCGAGAACTGATTAGATGAATTCTGATGTACCAGGCTTTAGAAGTCAGTAATTTGTATATTTTAGTAAGCTTTCATAAGGAAATGGGCTTGGTGTGATTTCATTCAAAAACGGTTAACATTTAGAGTCATTGACCACACCCATACATAATGTAGATGAGGAGTTTGGTTTTCAAAAACAACTTTCTAAAATGAAATTAGTGCATGTGTTCATTTAAAATATATATATATTTGTTCAGACTGCTTAGTGCCACTAGGTCCAAGGATGCAGCAATGTTTAGGGCAAAAAGATCTCTCCTTTAAGGGACTTTGTATTCTATTGAAGTGAGGGGACAGATAATATAAGGAAACAAATAAACAAGATACAATTTTAGATAATAAGTTTTATGTAATAGTGAGTAGCCAGAGGTTATTTTTATAAAATAAAAATAATTTGACCATCCAAGGTATCAGTACTAACATTTAAACATATCTCATTCTAATATGGGTTTGGGAGTATATAACAAATGGGATATTATTCTATAGTTTTGTAAACTACTTTCAATTAACAATATGTATATTGCAAGTATTTTTCCATGTTATGAATTCTCCTACAAAGCTGTCTGTGTGGCTACATGGAACACATTGGTTTCTATGACTATGACATGATTTATTTAAATTAATTTGTTCACCTTTAATTGTTTGGATTATCCTTCATTTTTTCCTTATTATAATCAATGTTGTAATAAGCACCAAGGTTGCTAAATGTACGTGTCTGTGATTTTTTTCTTTAGAGTAAATTTCTTGCACCAAAACTGTTGGCCTAAATGATATTTAATTTCAAAAATTTAAGGACTTGGAACTTCCCTTGAAGGTCCAGTGGTTAAGACTCTGCACTTCCAATGCCGGGGGCACGGTTTTGATCCCTGTTGGGGAACTAAGATCCTACATGCCAGGTGGTAGGGTGAAAAAAAAAAAAACCTGCTAAGAAAAAAAATTTAACGATTTGATGCACACACTTTTAAACTGCCTTTTCAAAATGCTACAATAATTTATCCTCCATCTGGCAGCTCATGAAGTTTCCAGTTCACCCTGTCCTTGACAACCTGGGGTGATATCATTTCTTTTTTTCTCTCGACTATATAGGAGAAAATTTTCATTTTTATTTCAACATGCATTTCTTTATTTTTTTTCTAAGATAATTCACATGCCATAAAATTCACCATTTTTAAGTGTACAATTTACTGGTTTTTTAGTATATTCACAAAGTGGTGCAACCATTACCACTATCTAACTGCAGAGCTTTTTCGTCACTCCAAAAACACCCTACACCCGCTAGCAGTCACTCCCCAGCCCCCTCTTCTCCCAGCCCTTGGCAGCCCCTTTATCTACTTTGTATTTCTGTGGATTTTGGTCTCTTCTTGACATTTTGTATACATGGAATCATGCTCTTCTTTCTGGCTTTTCTGATTCCACTGTAACAAGGTTCATCCATGTTTTAGCATGTATCATTTGTTTTTAGAGTCAAATAATATTCCGTTGTATGGATATACCAAATTTTGTTTATCCATTTGTCAATTGATAGACATTTGGGTAGTTTCCACTTTTTGGCTATTATGAATAATGCTGCTACGAACATTCATTGACGTGCTTTTGTGTGAACACAGTTTTCATTTCATATATGTATATGAATGCAATTGCTAGGTCATACGGTGACTCTGTGTTTAATTTTTTGAGGAGCTGCCAGACTCTTCTCTATATTTATGTTCGCACCAGCATTGTATGAAGGTTCCAATTATTCCACACCCTTGACAGCCCTTGTTATTTTCTGTTTTTTGTTTGTTTGTTTTTTATTATAGCTATTTTAGTGGGTGTGAAGTGATAACTCATTGTGGTTTTGATTTACATTTTACTAATGACTATCTTGAAAATCTTCTCACATACTTACTGGCTATTTTTGTAGATTCTTTGGGGAAATGTCTATTCAAATACTTTGTCCACTTTTAAATTGGGTTGTCTTTTTACTGTTGAGTTGTAACAGTTCTTTATATATTTTGGAGACTAGACTCTCATCATATATATGGTTTGCAAAATTTTCTCCCATTCTCTGGATACCTTTCATTTTCTCTAAAGTCTGATTTGATACACAAAACTTTCTAATTTGGATGAAGTACAATTTATCTATTGTTGCTTGTGTCTTTAGTGCCATATCTAAGAAACCATTGCCTAATCCAAGGTCACAAAGATTTATACCTATGTTTTCATCTAAGAGTGTTCATAGTTTTACATTTAAGTCTATGATCTATGTTGAGTTAGTTAATTTTTTAAAATATAGTGTGAGGCAGGGGTCCAAATTAATTCTTTTCATGTGAATATCTAGTCCCAACACCTTTGTTGGAAAGACTCTTCTTTCCCCATTGAATGGTTTTGGCATCCTTGTTGAAAATCAGTTGATCATAAATGTCAGAGTTTATTTTTTGACTCTCAATTCTATTGCATTGATTTATATGTCTACCCTTAATCCTGTATCACACTGTCCTATACATTGTAGCTTTGTAGAAAGTTTTGAAATCAAGTCTTCCAACTCTGTTCTGCTTGTTCACGACTGTTTTGGCTATTCTCAGTCCTTCACTTGTCCATATCAGTTTCATAAGTGGCTTGTCAATTTCTTCAAAAAAGGAAGTTGGAATTTTGACAGAGAATGCATTGAAGCTGTAGATCAATTTGAGTATTACCATCTTAACAATATTGTCTTTCAATCCGTGAATACAGATGTCTTCCCATTTATTTACATCTTATTTAATTTCTTCCAAATAATGTTTTGTAGTTTTTGGTATACAAGTCTTGAACTTCTTTGGTTAAATTTATTCCTAAATATTTTATTTATTTTGATGCTATTGTAAATGGAATTGTTTCCTTAATTTCATTTTTGGATTGTTCTTTACTAGTGTTAAGAAATACAACTGATTTTAATGTACTGATCTTGTATCCTGCAACCTTGCTGAAGTCATTTATTAGCTCAGATAGTTGTGTGTGTGTCTATGTTTGTGTATGCGTATTCTTCAGGGTTTTCTATATATAAGATTGTGTACTCTGCAAATACAGATAGATTTACTTCTTCCTTGGCAAACTGGATCCTTTTATTTCATTTCTTACCTAATTACTCCATTATAAGAACCCACCCTTGTGACTTCATTTAACCTTAATTACCTACTTAAAAGGCCCCATCTCCAAATACAGTCACACTGAAGGTTAGAACTTCAACATAGGAATCTGGGGGAGGGGGGACACAATTCAGTCCATGACAGTTATCTGCAACTTACAAGAGTTGTAAAGTTGCTCAAAGACAAAGGTACAGAGACCCCACAGAATCAGATAACCTAGACAATGCCTAATTTTCCATTGAAGATATATAGTAATCATTTCTGTCCACTTAAAAGTCTTTCAGATTTTTTCCCTGCAGTTAAGAAAAAAGTATTTGCTATTCTTATACGTTTATTTGTCCAATTGAATTTTACAATATTGTTAGATTGTGTTAAAATGGTGCTAAAATTTTAAACTAATATTGTTTAAAAAATTTAAATATGGTTAGGGGTATTTGACATTGTTATTTTACTGTATGTTTCCATCCAGGAACAGTTAAAATTTTTTTTAAGTTCTCATTAAATCTTTGTACTTTTCATCATTTAGATTCTGAACAATTCTTATTAATTCCAAAGTAATTTACCTTGGTGTTGTAAGGGAAATTCCTCTTTCCTTTATGGTTCCTAAGTAGTTATTACTGGAAACCAATGGTTTTTAAAAATAATGAGTTTTGTATCCATCATCTTATAGAATTCTCCTATTGGTTCTAGTTATTTTTCAAAATTATATTTATTTTAATATTCATCCTTATAGTTGGGTAAATTGAGAATGTAAGTTGAGTGCTTATGGTTCAGCTGAGAGCAAATTGATTGCATCTAAGAATATTTTGTCTGTCTCTGTGTGTGTGTACAGGGGTGTGTTGAGAAGAGTCTGGGTAGGAACATGAGACAACTTTCTTAATGATGTCTTCTTGGAATTAACACTATTTGTCTTGGAGACCTAGATTCCCAGAGCTGGCTTATCCATTTCATGTGACATCTCCTCCTCTGGTTTTAGAAGGAGCTAGGAAACAAGCAGTTATTGTACATGGGATGCAGTTCCTCAGGACCTGTGGTCTATTAGCACACAGATTCCTTAACTGCTTGTAGGTGTTCCCCAAATTTCTGGATGCTACTGTTCAAAAATATTTTGACTTAGCTTTTATCCCTTTGCTCTTGGAATACTCAGGTTTGTGTGACACGGAGTTCAAGGCTTCTTCAAATCTAACTCGATTTCAAAGTTAAGTGGCAACCTGATGCATGCTGCAGTAGCTTTAAGCATTCCCTAGGATACCCACAGAGATCGTCTGGAAGGGAGCTGTTTGTCTTAACAGATTTTCAAAGCAGATAAAACCTGTCCATTTTGGAGAGAGATGTCAGAGAACATACATCAGCCCGGAGAAGATTACTCGTGGTTTTAAAGCTCCAAAGAATCGATTCATACGTCCTAGAAATGCATCTAGAGTTAAATACCTCTTGGAGACTTATGAACAAGTGCACTGATGGATAATCTTTTGAAACCAAATATGTTCTTAAATAGAGGAATTTCTGTATTCTCACATCTTCCAAGAAGCTTTCCCTAACCCCTGCCTACCCTCAAGCTGAGTTACCCCTTATCTGAAATCTCACGAAACTTTATTTTTACACTTCTATGGCCTTGACACTTTCTGCTGGTATTTGTGTTGTTCGTGCTCCCCATGTATCAGCCTCACTGTGCCAGAAGATTGGGTATCTCCCACTGCACTTACTGAAATGCTTTGCAAACAGTAGGTGCTCAGTATATGAAGTTCTGTGGATGGACATTTCGATAATCTGTAGTACCTGTTATATTCTACTGAAAATTAGCAAAGTGCAATTAACCTCAATTTTGTAGTTTGGGATTTTCAGTAAACTACCCTCCCTCCAAGAAATGCCTAACAGTTTAGCTAGAATAAGACATTAACATACTTCTATCACGATGAGGATTTGAGGCCCATCTTCATCTTTCCACTTTTGTCTAATTCAAGTTAGCCAGGCTAGTAAAAGAAAAGCCTTTTCCTCTTAGCAACCCAACCCGCTCCCCTTCTCTGGCCTCTTTCTTCGCTTATGTTAGTGAACTACTTCAGCCTCTGCCTTCAGTGTTAACAGTTTGTGCTTGTGCGTAACCCTCGGCTTTTGGTGATGAGAGATGTTCGAAACCTATTCTGACACAGAACCCTTCCTCGCTTCCGATTCCTCTGCTTCTTGGGGGTGGAAATAGTTTCTCCGCTTTGAAACGCTGGCAGGGAAAAAGAATGGGGGAGAAAATTGCATTTAAACTTTGAAAAGTTGAATCACGGCTGGTTGCACAGCAAAAGCTCCGCAGTGTGGAGAAAGTCTGAATGTGATTTGGTTTGCACGGGGTTGGGCTGGGCGCCTTCGGGGGGAACCGGCGGGGTCGAGCCCCCGGAGCGGCGAAGGCCCGAAACGTGGCCTCCCGCCGCATCCCCGCACCTCCCCCGCCCCCCGGCTGCGTTCGGGCTGCCCCCCCGCCCCGGCCACGGAGGTCGCGCGCTTGCGTGTTGCGGCCAGAGCGCCCGACCCGGAGACCGGTCGCAGAAAACGCCGAGCGAGTAGGGGGCGGCGCGCAGGAAGGGAGGAGGACCGGGGACCTGCGGGGTTGGTGGGCGTTCGCGGGTGGAGACGTAGAAGATGTGACGCCGTGGCCCGGCTGCTGCCAGACCAGCGGACGCTGTGCCGGCGGTTGCAAAAGGATCCCTGGCGCTGCAGCGGCCCTCCCGAGAGCGGCGGCTGCGGAGACACCCAGCCCTCACTCCCAGCTCCCGGGCCGCTCGGCTCCCCGCGCTCTAGGGCCGGCGGAGAGGGAAGCTGCGGAACAGTTTGAGGCTGGGGGCCCGCGGGCGCGGCCGCGTGCCGCGGGGAGGGAGGCTGGGGGGCCGGGGCCGGGGCCGCGCCCCGGAGCGCGTCCGAGGCCGGGGCCGGGGCGCGGCAACTCCCCGCGCGGCTCCAGGGGCTCGGGGACCCCGGCAGGGCGCTGGCGGGGCCATGGCAGCCGGGAGCATCACCACGCTGCCCGCCCTGCCGGAGGACGGCGGCAGCGACGCCTTCCCGCCCGGCCACTTCAAGGACCCGAAGCGGCTGTACTGCAAAAACGGGGGCTTCTTCCTGCGCATCCACCCCGACGGCCGAGTGGACGGGGTCCGCGAGAAGAGCGACCCTCACGGTGAGTGCTGGCCGGCTCTTCCTACCCCGCGCCGTCTCCATCCCCTGCCGTTCTCTCTCCCTTCCCTGCCTTCCAGCCTCCGCGCTCTTTCCTTCTCTTCACTCTGACCCCAGTGGGGCTTGTGGTCTCTCCCCGCGCGGCCCTCGGCGGTTTTGGGTTCACCACTCGGCCCCTCCTGCTCCGAGCTGCGGTGGCGGGTAGACGCTCGCCCAGGCTTTGGAGTGTGCTGGTTTCCACTGGTAAACCAGTCCCCCGGGCCCGGAGCCGCAGGGCGCCCGGGCCTTGCCGGCGACTCTGTGGGCTCAGACAACCTGTCGCGTCGGGGATGCCCGGCGGCCGAGCAGAGGTGGGTAGCTCACGGAGGTGCCGCCGGCGCCCCCAGCCTGAAGTTCCGACCCCTTCTCTGTGGGATGCGCGCAGTCCCCGGGACAAAGCCAGGAGGGACCGCAGACGAATTAAACGTTCCTTATTGGAAAGATACCTTTCCAGAGTCGTGCCCTTAAATTCCAGGTTGGTAGGATCCAAGGCAGTTGGCACACTGCTGTCACCCATCCATTTCTGTTTTTTTCCCCGAATTTCGGAAAACTGAAAAAGCAGAAAATATGGACTGTATTAATAAAGTGCTATAGACTTTTGTTGCAGTAGTGAAAAGAACTGCAAAAACTTTAATCTTCCACTTGCAGTTATTAGCTATGGGACCTTGAGCGACCCTTAACCCTTGAGCCCGTTTCCTCATCTCGAAAGGGGGGGATAATCAACCTTGCATCAGGCTTGAGGATCAAATGAGGATTTATATGAAGTGCACAGAGGACTCAGTTTACTAGTATGCAGTTTCGTTTTCTGTAAAAATAAAATGAAATAAAATAAAATCTATCTGTGGTTATAGAAAGAAGATGGGCCTAAGTCATTAGTTCTCAAACTTTAGGGATGCATCAGAATCACCTGGAAGGTTTGTTATAACACACGGCTGAACCATCTCCCAGAGTTTCAGATTGCTTAGGTCTGGAGTGGGGCCTGATTTGCATTTCTAACAAGTTCCCAGGTGATGCTGACCAGGGAGCACACTTTGAGAACCCACTGGTCTAGAGAAAAGATGGAGAAAAAGGTGTAAAATGGGCTGGTAAAAATACTGATGAATTGGAAGTGAGAGAAAGAGATCAGATATATTTTAACTGTCACCCTGTAAGTGTAGGTAAAACATCTCTTTTGAAAGCTGTTTGTTCTGCCAGTCCTTCCTTTATGGGTTTCAGGTGGAAAACCTGATCCCCTTTTTGCCTGAGAAAAGACCCGCAGGAGTCCGTCTTTACCTTATGATGCTAATGGTGTGTCCTTCACTTTGGAATGCGGGAGTAGGAAGTGGAGAGAGCTCTGCAGCCAAGCCTCCATTGACAAATTCGGGAATGGGAATGTGCTTTCATAAGAATTGAGTCTTTATTGGTTCCAAAATAGCAACAAGCAAAAGATGCAGGCCTGTAATTTTTTTCAGGCCTACCGTAATTAAAAAGTTTTCTCATGTACTATCCAGTAAATCTGAAAAGATGCTTTTAGTCCAGTCTATCGGTAGCGCTCCTTCTCTATTTTGGTAACTTAAATGGATTTCACAAAATTATCTTTGTGTTTGGAGTTTGTTCTGCAGTTGTCTGCCAGGCTAGACCCGCTGGTTAGGGCAAGGTGCACATATGTCCCAATTAGTTTTGCTCTTTTCTAGTAGCACAAAAAGGAGCATGTTCTTTGACGAGAAGACAGAAGAACTCTCTCCCAGATTGGGTTCATATTGAGGCTTCCCCTAGTATTCTCTTTTTTTTTCCAGACATTTTATTAGTTACAGTTTTTTTCTTTGACACTCTCGATACCCTATTTCCTTTAGAACAAAACTGTATAGGGGCTAGCGAGTGAGGGTAACTCTGAATTGCATACCGCATTACCACCCTTGTAAAAACAGCTGTTAACTTTTTATTCCCAGTTCTGGGCTGGGCTGTCATTTTTGTAATCTGATTTTAACTCAGTGGTACTCAAATAGGATTGGTACTGCCTGCCCCCTTCCACCTCCAGGGAACATCTAGCAATGCCTGGAGACATTTTTGGTTGTCACGCCTGGAAGGGTGCTATTGGCATTTAATAAGTAGAGGCCAGGGATGATGCTACAGTGCACAAGATACCTCCCTAATCCCTCAGCAAAAAATTTTCTGACCCTAAATGTTGGAAGTGCTAAGGTTGAGAAACCCTACCAACTTGATAACTAGCTAAAGACAAGATGTTTAAAAGTGAAGAGTAGAATATTCATCCAGATCTGTGGAGAGCACTGATTTTTTAAAAATCACCTTGTACCAGGTGATAGCCTGACAAGAATGTAAACCTAAAAATGATAAATTTAGGCCACTTTTGTATAGCCCAACCTGGACATAAGTTTAAGTACAGTGTTTTTTTCTGGCATGTCGAAGGCGTACTGATAGTTGACCAAACCAGGAGGAGACTGATGGGAAATATATAAGAAAAAAAATGACTTAACAATATCCTCTGAATTACATCCCCTCCATTCCCCTGAACGAGCAAAACTGATCAGGAAACGTGGAGAAATCAGTTAACCGTTGCTACAGCTTCCCTCTGAATTAAGGCCCAGATATCTAGAACTGTTTGAAACGTTGGAAAACCCCAAGGCCCCATTCCTCAAACTGTTTTGCCCAATGGACCCTAAAATCTGTCATTGGAGATTTATTCCTTTGGCGTTAACACTTTCCGGACGTTTCTAAAATGCAAATACAGTCTGCTCTCCGTATCCGAGGGTTCCCCATCTGCGGAGATGAGGGTCAACAGTGCTGCGCCACGTTCCTCGAGGGACTTGAGGCTCCATGGTTGTTGGTACCTGCGGGGGATCCTGGAACCGGCCCCCCACGGATACCGAGGGAGGAGGGTCCCTCTGGAAGAGTTCAGCAGCGTTCGGATTTTACCGTTTAGCGTGGATTAAATTGCACGTGCAGTTTCTTCCCCAAAACCTGACCTGGAGGACCGGAGTTGGCGGAGCTGGGGGGCGGGGAGCTGTGAAGGCTGTGGCATGAATGTGGGGCGCTGCTTAGGGGCGGGGGCCGTAGCTCAGGTTCTGGAGAGGACACGGGGCGGGGCGGGGCGGGGCGGGGCGGGGCGGACGGCGGCAGAAAGGAAGGGATCAGACGCCTGGACGCCCGTGTTTCCAGCTTCACAGTGTTGCTGAAGATCACCTGTGCTTCTCACCTGGCTTCTCTCTTGAATTGCTTTCACAAGTTGCCTTTGAAAAGGCAACTTTCTTTACAATCCTGGAATAACCTGTGTTTGATACGAGAGTCTTGCTAAAAGCATGATAAAAACAAGGACAGAGCGGGTGCTCCCCCCCCCCCCCCCCCCCCCCCCCCCCCGCGTGCACGGTGCACACCCACCACCTTCCCTTCGGCGTCCTGGATGTTTTTACAGGCCCCTTCCAAATGCCCATAGGAATGGGTAACGTTAAGTGTATGCTCTAAAGTAGTGAACCACGTGAAAACATTCAGAAGAGAGAACATTTTATCCCAAGCAGCACGTACAACATGTGGTGGAGTATAGTAAGGGCAAAGTATGCTGCCTGTGTGCATTTTAGCATCAAATTTATTCCAGATGCTGTTATTTTGGAAAAAATGTAGGTAGTTAGAAGTGCTGGGTCGACCCTTGGGCCTCTCCCAGGAGGGCTTCTCCCAGGAGGTGACTGCCTGCTTGCCCCACTTCTCGGCTTCCAGGCTCCAGAGGACACTGAGCCTTGAAGAGACTGAGGGACCCGTCCACTCCCATGTGGAGAAGGGATGGGATCCCAGTCTGTGTGACCCCCGGTCTGTGTGACCCCCGTGCCGTGTGCCATGGCACATATTCCATGCAACCCCTCATCGTTAAAAACATGAACTTGCGAAATTCAAGGGGAGGCTTCAGACTTTTTATTTCACAGATTTTAAAGATATTCTGGGAGAAAAAGGTTTTTTTTTTTGTTGTTTGTTTTTTAAAGGAAGTTTGTATAGTGTAGTAATGATCTGGCTAGATTCTGTGAGTGGATTATTGTTCTCTGTTCATGATTTACGCACTTTGAGAAAGTGCTGGCACCTTAAGGTAGGAACCATGACTTCTCCATGTAAATAAACATCATAAAAGATTTGTATCTTTTACTCTGGGAATTCTCACTAAATGTCAGCTGCTGATGAGAACATTCTGTGCGGACCATCCCGTGGAATAACTCCTCCTGGACCACATGACATACAAAAGCATGGTCGAGGTTTATAGCTCTCTTGGCGCAGCTAACACATACGTTTAGACACTTGGTCAGTCTTTTAATGAAGATGATTATATGTAACAAAATTATATTTGGAAAATATTTTGGAATCTTAAAAGCTGGCTATTAGCATTTTTAAGGGTAATCTATACAGAGATGAATCATTTCTCAGGATAATTAGTTTAAAGCTCTCATTATGAATCCTGTTTTCTTTAAAAAGCACCTGAGATTTTTACCACGTACTGTGTGATATAAAATTCCTCAGGTATGTTGTGCATTTTGTTCATTCTTTTCTTTCGTGGCCAATACCCTAGAATCCTGTACGCTCTTCTACTTTATCTCCTTTTCTCTTTTTAATTCTGGATTCTGCACCAGGTATTCTACTTAAAATCATTCTGGGCCCCAGCAGTCTTCCAGTTCAATCACATGGACTTATCCAATTTGTGGCCCTACTTGTGACACTTGACACCATTGTCTGCCTCTGTCTTCCCGAGAATTCCTTGGCTTCTGTTACACCACATCAACCTGGTTTCCTCTCACCCATCCGACCGTCTTTTCCTCTGGTTTCCCCTTCTTTCGGTCTTTTGCTATAATATTCCCCAAGGCTCTGTCTTGGCACTCTACCCGTCTTTCTGTGTACTCGTGGTCCTTCGGCAGATCAATTATAGTCTTTGTCTCAGATTTCCCACCTCTGTGTTAGTACTGTGTTTCTCACTGCTCGATGGCCAGATGCACT